ATCAGTTTACTATAAAAGTTCTGAGATACTTACTGTCAGTTTCCGTGCTTGCTCATCCCAGGCCAGTGACAAAGTTCCTGGGCCAGCCCCTGTTCCTGGACATCGCTGCCAGTGGCCCTAGACTGGGCTTTGCGCCTGGCTCTGTAAAAGGAGGCTGAAGCCTAGGAAGTGGAAAATGTTGGGGAGTTGGTGGTGGAGTGACCCTCAGCCCTGGTGCTCCCTCGGGGTTAGGCCAGCCTTGCCCTGTGGGGCACCCTAGGGAGTATGGCCAGTCAGGCTTTGCAGCCCACCTGTTATGTGGTGGAGACCTTGGTTTTTCACTGGAGGGGCAGCTGCGGGTGAAGTCCAGTTCTCTTTCCTGGGGAAGAGGAGACTGAGGTTGACCCTTGCCCTTTACATGGCAGGCCCCTGGCTTCCCGAGGCTTCCCCATCCGGAAGGTGGAGAAAGCAGTCTGTCCTGATCCCTGGGGAGATAAGAGCCATGAGGAGTCAGGGTGTTGGCATTCAGCTGCCTCTTTTAGACCCCAGTGTATGTGTGGGGGAGCTTTTCCTCTTAAGTGTGGCTCCCTTGGCCTCCCCTCCTCTTGTTAGCTGGGGTCTGGGTGGGGGTATCAGAGAAGGGGTGTTGGGTTACCGGACCATGCTTATAAACAGCTCGTGGGCAGCCACCCTGGGAAACCATAGCTGACATGCCTTTACTGCCCAGCTCCTATGCATTATGCAGCAGCTCTTTATTCTGTCTCAGGCTTATTAAAATTTTAGTGGCCACAATGGCAAGGATCTCGGGGGTTCCTTCTCCCTGGGAGGGGGGTCACTTTGTAGCTAGAGGCTGGAGGTTCCCTGGAGGAGGGTCATTTCTCCTCTTCTGCACCCCCTGAAGTCTCCAGCATGTATCATCTGAGGGGGTGGATAACAGTTGTGGCCCAGGGCTAGACACTTCTACATTCTTCATTTAATTTTCATGACACCTTGCAAGGTAAGCCTTGTTACCACTTCGGATGAGGAAACTGAGGCGTGAGCATTGCGTCTTTCCCCAGCTCTTGGGGCAGGGCTGCCTGTCTGCCCCTGTGACTCCTTTCCTAGGGGTCTTCTGGGTTCTTGTCATTTTGTTGTCACAGGGAAGCGAAGGGAGGGGCTTTGCCAGAGGTGGTCAGACGGAGACCTGCATCCCAGTGGCTTGCCCTCCATTGTGCCTGTGGCTTCCTGGGTCGCTGATGGCTTGCTGACTTAACCCTGTCGGGAGGGGCAGAAGCAGAAGGGCTCTTCTGTCTTCGAAATGGGGGAGACAGGTAGCATCTGTGTCCCTGACTGCCCCCCTTTGTCTTTGCAGAAGGAACCCAGCGAAGTGCCAACACCTAAGAGACCTCGGGGCCGACCAAAGGGGAGCAAAAATAAGGGTGCTGCCAAGACCCGGGTGAGGCTTGTGGAAGGGGGTGCTCCCTAGTGAATCAAAAAAGAGGGTCCTTTGGTGGGAGGTCTGGAAAGGAGCTGGCTTGTCCTGATTCTGTTCCCTCTCCTTTGGCATACGGTGGCAGGCAATGGGTCTTTGCTAATTAGGGAGAAAGCAGGGTGATGGCTGAGATCTCACTTCTGGGGCCTTGGTCCTGCCCAGGACAATGGGGAAATCAAGTCAGTCCCACCAGCCCCCAGGGCTGAGAACATTATCTTCTATCCTGGGGTCCCTGGATCCTGAGGGAGTGGGGATAAGTAGGGAAGGCCAGATTTATGGTGGCATCAAGCTTTCAGAGAAGTTGTTTTGTTTTTTATTTTATTTTTTTCTAAGACACGACTCATATCCTCTGAGTCATGGGTGGAGGAGGGAGTGGGGGGCGTGTGTGTATATTGGGGGGGGCCGTGTGGCTGGCCAGTCATCACCAGCTGGACTCGGGTGGGCCTGCTGGGGTGAGTCCTGGGCTGCCCTGAGCAGAGGTGGGCCACGCTGTCCTCTCTGCTCCCTCACCACCCCGGGCTCTGGTCATTGGGCGAGCACTGTCGGGGACATTTTTGACTTAGTGGATCTTTTCTCTGACCATCTTAGAAAACCACCACGACTCCAGGGAGGAAACCAAGGGGCAGGCCCAAAAAACTGGTAGGTGAAGGGGCTGTGGTGGCTTGGCTCTTTTGGGGCAGGGGGTGCAAAGAATGATTCTGTGCATCCACCATGAAAAAACCGCTCTCCTTGACCTTCCGGGCCAGGAATGGTGGGCTGTCCCATGTTACCCAGGCCCTGAGAGGAGAAGGGATTTGCCCAAGCCCAGGCTCCTGGCATCCAGCCCAGGGCTTTTAAAGGGCCCTATATCCACGAAAAGTGAGGGGTCCCAGGTACAAACCAGACTAGACTCCTACCCTGCACTAGTTGGGGCGTGTCTGCCTCTGCTTCTAGAGAGATGCACTTCTTGGGGGGGGGGGATCTTGGAGGTCATCTAGTCCATCCCCCATTATAGAAACGAGGAAAGGCCATCACAAGGGGAAAGGGTGAAGTTTGTCCTTACCCTGATCCTGGGGAGGGAAGGAGAGAGAGCTTAGCCTTGGGAGGGGGTCAGTGCTGTGTGGGAGCTGAGGTGTGATCCCACACTGGGCCTCCAAACAGCTGATAGTAGAAGTAGGTGGGCGGAGTCAGGAGACTGCCTCTAGGGGACTAACCTGCAGTTAGAGCCACCCCAGCCTTCCTCCTCCTGGCCCTTCCTATCCCCAGCGTGCTCCCTGAACTCCCTGAGGCGTTCTCTTCATTCCACGAGCCACCACTGGGGTTAGGGGGGCCAGGGGGTGCTGGCTGGGCCCCAGGAGTGAGTAACAGGAAACAAGTTGTTTTGGAGTTTGTGCCTGGCACGGGGGGCGTGTGGTGTCCCGACATTCCCACCCAGTGAGTGAGCCCCCGCGGCACACACTTCCCCTTCCTCCCATCCCTGGCTGTGGCCACCCCACAGTCCTCGCTGCCCCTGTGCGCCACCTGGTTCTCCGGGCACCCACCAGGGGGGGCTCACGCACCCTCCCACCACCCCTTCGCTTCCGATTTCCTCTCCCTGGCAGCCTCCTCCCCTCCCCTCCCCTCCCCTCCCCTCCCACTGAGAGCCAGTCACTTCCTCCAGCCCAGTCCCCCCACTGTGGGCCCCAGGGCAAGGGAACCTGGCTCTGTGTGTGAGCAGCAGCGTGTGTGTGGTTTTTTTCCCTCCCTTTAAATTCCTCCTTTTTTTATGAATGAAACTGGGCTGTGGAGGTTGCTGAGTCACCCACACACTCAGCCCTGACTCATCTCCCTTCTGGAGTGCAGGGAGTGGTGGGGGCGAGTCAGGCCTGTGCCCCCTCCCTCACACCCCCGGGGGTAGGGTGGGGTCTGGGGGTGGAGGAGGAGGAGAGCCAGGCCTGGCACTCCTGCTGACGGCCCTGCCCACCTCGCAGGAGAAGGAGGAAGAAGAGGGCATCTCACAGGAGTCCTCAGAGGAGGAGCAGTGACCGGCCGTGCCACGTGCTTCCTCACGGAGGAGCGGTTTCCTTCTGGGACTGGACAGCTCCGCTCCCACTGCCCCCGCCCCTTCCCCCAGGCCCACACCTCACCACCACCCACCTGCGTCCTCACCACCACACTACACAGCACAGCAGCTGCTGCAGGGCCCTGGTGGCCTGAGTGGGGAGCAGTTTTTCTTTGGTCCCGGTTCCCAGCCAACCCCTCGCCCACGAGCACACACTTGCCCTCCTGGACAGAGCTAACTTCCCACTTAGCCGCACTCTGTGCCCACTGCGTCCCCACTCCCTCAGTGGTAGGGACATTGCTGACTGGGCTCCTGGTTTGGGGATCCCTTCTCCCCTATACTCTTCCCTCTGGCTTCCCATTAAGGGGCCTGGGAGGGCTCCCCTGGCCTTAAAAGGGGCCCAAGCCCCATTCACTCTGACATGCCCACTCCACTGTACTGGCAGCAGCAGCAGGTGTGGCCAAGATGCTCCCAACCAACCTATGTCTCACCAGGTGCAGCTCACACCCACTTTTCTTCCTTCCCCACCTTGCCTAGTCCCTGCACTAGGTTGGACAGTCCCCTTGGGGCACAGGAAGGAAGGCAGGAGGGGTTTGAGTCCCCCACCCCATCTGCTTTCACTCTAGGCCTCAAGGCTCCCCTTCCTTCACATGGGGCACTAACAAGGAGCTAGCCTTGCCTACCCCCTGCGCCTCCCCATCCCCCAAGGTTCTGGTTCCATCTTTCCTCTGTTCACAAACTACCTCTGGACAGTTGTGTTGTTTTTTGTTCAACGTTTCATTCTTAGACATCTGTCATTGCTGCTGCTGCCAGCGCCAAATGTTCATCCTCATTGCCTCCTGTTCTGCCCACACTCCCCTCCAAGATGCTCTTAGGGGAAGGAGCCTGGGGCAAAGCAGGCTGGGTGACCGACCACCCCAGTCCCAGGGAAGGTGGGGCCCTGCCCCTAGGATGCTGCAGCAGAGTGAGCAGGGGGGGGGGCTGTTGTTGAGTGTGTAAGGGGCCGCATTCTCCCCCCTGTTATGCTGGGGAGGAGGTAGCCATTGTTTGTCCCAGCCTGGGGCCCCCCCTTTGGTTTCCTATTTGCAGTTACTTGAATAAAAAAAATATCCTTTTCTGGACTGGAATCTTTTCTGTGGTGGGTGCCTGAACAGCTAAGGGTAGAAACCAAAGATCTGGTGGGTGGGGGTGGCTTTAGAGGTTCCCTGCCTGGCTCTTCTAGCTGGAGTTCGGAAGCAGCAGCCCTGGACTTAGCTCTAGGGGAAGGTAGCCATCTCCTCTTGAAGAAGTCAACCACACTGCTAGACACAAAACGTTTTATTTACAAAATATATATATTGAATACTATACATCAGGCCCTGTCACCATGGAAACAACTCCAAAGCCAATTCAGGGGGAGGGCTAAAGAAAGATGGGGCCTGAGGAAAGGTCAAAGCTCATCCTCTGTTACCAGCCCCTCCACACACCCCAAAAGTTTCCGTTAGTGCCTAGGAGCGAGTGGGTGGTAGGCTCAGCCCACAAAGGGCTGAAAGACCTTAGGGGAGTGATGGGGCTGGCTGCTATGCAGGGGCTTAGGAGATGGGTGCTGCCAGAATGGGTGGGAGGAGGAATGGAGACCCAGTGCCCAGCCAGGGGAGCAACTGGAGGGGAAAGCAGCTGGCAGGGCCCTGGACACCCCAGGACCCCATGGTTCTGAAGATCAGGGCAAGAGGGTCTTGTCATGTCTTGACATCCAGCAGGGGCATCCGCTTGTGCTGGTAGCCACTCTGCCAGCCATGTACCACCTGTTGGGGAGGAAAATGTGCCACAGCTGAAGAGGTACCCTGCTACTCCGGGCCCGAATGGGGAGGACCAAGGACAAAACCAGGTTCTGGTTTCAGGGGTGAGTATGGATGAGAGAATAGACCCATCTCTGCCAATTCTCCATCCAGAGGGCTCACCTTGGGGTCTCCGATGTCAGAGAGTAGCTCCTGCTCAGCCTCGTGCAGCTCCTCGGCAGGGTCATAGCTGTACATGGGGAGCAGGTGATGGCGAAGCCGGTCCACCCTGGGGAGCAGGGGAGAGGGGCTCAGCCCAGGGTACCCACCTTCAAACACCTGACTTGTCTCCACTCTACCAGGTAGGGGCACTTTCAGTGGGTGCCTTTTAGGGCACACTAGGGCTCTTAAGAACACATGTCCAATTCTGTTCCCCAGGGGGTAAGCTGAGCTTGACCTAACAATGGGGTGTAGGGGATTTCAGGCTTGTATCAGGATGGCTGAGGGGCATCTTACATGCATCCAGAAAATGCAGATCCTATGGAAAGAATTTTTTAAGATTTTATTGGGGAAGGGGACCAGCCAAGTTGTTATTGAATCTTTGTTGTGGAGGATGCCAGTCGCCATCTGGCTTCCCGTAGGCAGCTCGTGGCCTCTAAGCTCAAGGTGCTGTGTTCAGTCTTAGTTGTGGGTGGGCGTAGCCACCATCCCATGCGGGAGTCGAACCAGCAGCCTTATTAAGAGTGCGCGCTCTGGGCCGGCCGAGTGGCGCAATGGTTAAGAACTCGCTTGGGACACCAGAGGGCCCCGGTTTGGATCCCACATGAGGGCCAGTGACACTGCCCTCCACAGCTAAGATGCTGAACAACAGCTCAACCTGGAGCTGGGCTGCCATGAGTCGCCG